TATTATTATTATTATTGGGTACAGAATAGTCTATGTTAGCTTGCAGAAATAAAACTGTGCATAAAGGGAAGTTGTTTCTGATCCCAGCTGTTAAGGGTTTAAGACACTGATCCCCCCAGATCTGCCTACAGAAGCCATTCTGTTAGAAAATGCACCATGTCCTCCATCGTAGAGCATCCTGCTAGACAATATCTGCTTGTGCCATGTTAGTCCATATAATTTTCCTTAATCTCTTTCAACTGCAGGGAGATCAATCTGCATTTAGTTAGTAGTAGTCTTAGCTCACGCAAGTTAACAAGGGACAAATATGGCACCACCTTTCCGAAAGACAAGGGAAAGCCTTTATATGTTCTTTTGGAGTGGCAACTGGCTAATAGATGCTATAGTAGTCCAGGTGTCCATGTCATGTAGTCATCTTTTAATAATATCTTCACAGGCAGCCTCATATCCTCTCCTGTGGAGGTAGGTTGGGGAACAGCCCATTGTGGGTATCTTAACTGACCAGGAGTCCCTTCCCATTTCCTCACAGGCCAGTAAAACTAGAATATTTCCTAATAATAATGAAACAGTGAATCTGTATCTCTGGAAGAATTCACTCCTTATATTTTTTTTGTTGTGATTCCGACAGTTTGACCCCAATTTTCCCTAATTTCTCTCATCAGACAGCAATGTGTCACTTATGGGGGATTCCTGTTGCAATCCTGTGGATCTGTAGGGCTTTCTTGCCATCAGTAATGATTTAAACCGTGACAGTGATCTGATGAGAGTGTCACAAGAAGTTCTAAGCATGACAAAATGTCTTTGTCTATCTATTTATTTAAAATATTTTTACCCAGCCTTTCTTCATAAAAGGACCAGCAGGCAGCTTTATTTATTTTCTTCTATGCACCAACCACATATGTGGAAATTTTATATGGTGACTTTCTTCCCATTTATCCACACAGCAGCCCTGCAAAGCGAGTTTAGCTGAAAGATACTGAATGATATATTTTACAAAGATACTAACAAACCAAATAAACTTTGTGACCAAGCAGAGATTGGTGCTTGGATCTTTCTTTTCCAAATGTAGTATGGTTGGTGATGCTTGTCACCGTACAGGCATTCTAAGATAAGTGGTTGATGTATAAACAGTCTCAAGGATGAAACAAGGGAGGAGGAAAGAAAGATTATTTGACATTAAGGCTAATTGACTAAACCCCATGAAGGCTGTAATCAACCTCCTTGTTCAGAGCTGAGGGCCTGGAAATGCTTCTTTTCTTACATTGCATCTCCTAGAATCCCCCAGCCACTGGCCATCTTGTCTGGAGGTTTCTGGGAATTATAGTCCAAAAAGTAAAGTGGAACAACTGTTGTGCGGGGTGGGGTGCCTAGTAGATTTTTCAGAGGCAGCTGGTGGGGAGCACGATGCTAGACAATATGGACCTCTGGTTCGCCTACCTCCACAATAGGACGGGTTGCCCAAGAGAACCCTCCATCTTGTCCGTGTAATCTTTTACTCTCTTTAGACTAATCATACATTGCAATGTATTAATTCAAAAATTATGTGCAAGTGATTTTTTTTCTTATACTGTATCATTTCAAGTAAAAGCTAAGAGGGTGTGACAGTTTGTGAGCTGAGAGTGTGTGCACGTGGTTCCAGAGGAACAGGCTGTGTTTAAAAGCTTCTCATAAAAAAAATACATTGTTCTGTTTCCATAAGGGAATGGTTATCAAGGTATCAGAGGACCTGAAGCTGCACGGTATATTAAAAGTCAGATCAGAAAAGTGCAGTAGCGCTTGGGGTCATGTGCAGCAACAAGAGTTCCACACATTCCTGAGCACTTTAGTTATCCATGGTAGTTATTGTAGGATTAGGATTCAAGAGACCTGAGTTCAAATCCTCTCTCAGCCACGGAATTCACTGTGTAACCTTCTCAGACTCAGTTATCTTATGGAGTGGTTGTGAGAACAGGCCGAAGAGCCATGTAAGCTGTCTTGAGGTCATTGGCGAAAATGTGGGACATAAATGTAACCAATAAATTAAGGGGTGGTGGTAGAATCCTGCAACCTACTCTTGGGCCTGAGTAAAGGACATCTAGATCAGGGATGCCCAGCCCTGGACCTTTCAGGGGCCATTCCAACCTGCATCACCCCCATGACTGTGTTTCCAGATCTGTGATTTTGAAGAAAAAATTTTTTACCATGAACGGGAGGATGCAAACAGCTGTGACCTGAGTCAGAGCTACGATATGCTCTAATTGTGTGACCTATCCACTCAAAGCCCACACAACCATAACCCTTCCACAATCAGACACAAACACAATCTTAATTAGGACATACTTCAGCAGTTTAGTAAGCTAAACAGAGTGATCAAACAAAGAAAAATAGGGCTATTCCAAAAGGTAAAATGGCTGACAGACCAGCTGCAAGGGCATATAGTAGAAGCCCTGCAGCAAACATGAATGATCAGTGGCTGGAATATCCAGGGGAGATCTTACACTTTACATGGGACCTCAACTATCACTTGCCTTCTCCTTTAGTGCCAGCAGCAAAATCTAATGTAGAGAAGGACCCCTGTATCCGTGGAATCGGTATCCACTGTTTCAGTCATCCATGGTTTACTGCAGCCCTGTACTGTAGGCCCACCTCCTTATATGTTGTATATTTAGGGTTCCCTACTATCCACAGGCATTTGCAGTAGATCATGAAAGGGATCCCCCATGGATATGGGGCTCCTACTGTATTACTTTTGATTTCTTGGTTCCTCATTTCAAATTACTGACCACTCTTTTTAACATGAGTAATATAAAACGGGATACGAAGTATCCATTGTGGTATCGCTCCACTCCAGGTCCACTTTGTAGTCTTCTGAATGTCGTACAACCCCCCCCCACACACACGCATACACATTCAGCCTGGTTTTGCACATTTCTTCAAAGGCTGTGTGCGTGCCTAAAATAATTATATTTGGCTTGTTTTCTCCAGCAAACTCATGTTTCTGTGCAAGAGTTGCCCTGCATGTTGTATAGAGGGCTGCAGTAAACCATGGATGATGGAGACCGCAGATACCGATCCTGAATCCACTTTCCAAGACCACCGTGCTTTTCCATTCATTCAAGACATTTCTATGTGTGCTGTCACCTCTCCGAAAGATACACCATTTTTTTCTTTCTTTGTTAATTAGAAATCTTTTCCGTTCAAGGATATGCTCCAGATGTCATTCAGATCAAGGTGAAATTATGTAGGGTTGCCTGATTAATCCAGGGAAAAGAGAAAGATAAAAGAATGGGGCTAAGTGCCATCTGAGTCCTGAGGAATTTAAACCAAGGGCAGAAACAAAAGTATGTGTGGGCCCCTTACTATCTCATCGAATCAGTTTCTAGAGATTATATTAGTATTCTTTAAATCTCAGTGTTGCTCACTAAGTGTGCAACGGGTCAGGGAAAGAAGAGAGAGAACCGGGCAGCCTTGAAATCCAAGCATTTCCACCTCGAGAGGACTAACCCCTTTGCATCATCACTTCTAATCAGTACCTTCCTCCTGCTGCTCTCCTTTTCTTTCTGTTCCAGGGGGACCTGACTTTGCAGGGCGTTCCTGCTTGCTACCATGTCTTTGGCGGGGATGAAGTGCCTGGTGACGGGCGCTGGTGGGTTTCTTGGTCAAAGGATCGTTTGCCAGTTGCTGGAGGAAGAAGATGGGCCAGCTGAGGTCAGAGCCCTGGACAAAGCAATCAGCTTAGAGGCACTCCAGAATTTTCAGAGTAAGCAAACACAGCGATGGTTTTCTGAAATGAGGGAAGGACCTCAATCCAAGAGAGATAAGGTGTCAGCATCCCCATGTTGGTGGGCAATGGCCTCCTTCTTACTGGGGTGCCAATCCTGTGTCTGAGTGGAACTCCTCCAGTATGCAGGGTTGGAGCTCCTGTAGGTAAAATCTTCACCATATAGCTCCTGCTGGATATTTAGAAAGTTAGCAAGTAAGTAACAGATTAAGTTATAAGCCTTTCCCCAGACAGGCTGGTTTTCTATGTGCAAGGTATGTTATCTGTATAAAGGAGTTATCCGTCCTATATGCCCCCATCTTCAATGTTTATAGCCTAGAGCGAGGGATAAATTAGATCATCCAGTTAACATGTCATTAGAAGCAGTGATGCCTTAAATAGAAAAGACTACCTCTTTATTCTAACATGAGCTTGCTTCGACCAGCACGTGGCAAATTAGCCTTTGTTTTATAAATGCTTTCCAGTGAGATAGCATGGCTTGGTTTGCATATCTGATGATTAGAGCACTTTTCTTTTTCTTTGAAAGGTTTATGTGCCTGGAAGAATAACTTGTAAGAGGAGAAACTATGTATTAGCATTAATGTGTGAGTTGAGTCATGGCAACTGGAGTCTTTCTTGTTAGGTTGAAGCGTTTCGCTACTTATCCAAGTAGCTTCTTCAGTCTGAGGAGAGTTGGTAGGAGACCCCTGATATACAGTGGTGCCTCGACTTACGAACGTGACCATTTTGAGTTGCGACCAGCTCCGGCCGCAAAATTTTGCTTCGAGTTGGGACAGGAAAAAGGCAGGGGAAAAAGGTGGGGAATTCAAATTGTTAACCATTGATAGGTGAAGAGGCTGCTTCTTTGTAGCTCTTTCGCCCCAACTGTTAGAGTGAGTGCAATCAGAGGAGGCTTCGGACTGCTTGGTGCTGCTTTCTGCTCCTGAGCAAGCACATTTACTTTGTTTTGCAGGGTGGGTTGGGGGGGGTTATGTTTCTGTGGTGTGATGTTTTTTGTGGGGCTGGCTGTGTGTGTGGGGTTGTCTTCCCCCCCCCCAGCTCCATGGCATTCCTCTGGGACTGGCTGTGTGTGTGTGTGTGGGGGGGGTTGGGTGTTTTTTCCCAGCCCCATAGTGTTCCGTTGGGGCTGGCTGTGTTTTTGTTGTTGTTTTGGTGTGTTTGTTTTTCGGCCCCAGTGCATTCCTATGGGACTTGCAGTGTTTTATTTTCTTATTTTCTTTTCTTTTTTCTTTTCCGGCCGGAACAGATTAATGGGGTTTCAGTGTATTCCTATGGGAAATGGTACTTCAACGTGTACGACCATTTCGAGTTACGGCCGTTTTCTGGAACAGATTATGGTCATAAGTTAAGGCACCACTGTATATCGTCCACATTGGTTTCAATTCTCCCAGGTCTGAATAGGCTCATTAGATACATACAATGAATGGAGAAGGACTGCAGAAGTGGGATTTTCACTCACACACCCCTCCCCCCATCCTTTGTTCATTTAATGAGCCTATTCAGACCAGGGGGAAGTGAAACCAAAGTGCAGGATATTTCAGGGGTCTCCCTGCCAATTCTCCTCAGAGTGAAGAAGCTGCTTGGATGAGTAGTGAAACGTTTCAACCTAACAAGAAAGAAATCCAGTTGTCGTGACTCAACTTCCAGATAACCACACCTGGATGACTGAGAATCTTCACAGATAAATCTCAAGTTAATTATTTCAATAAGAACCAATTCAAGCAGGGGGATTGTATTAAGCTTTCCTTGCATCTGAACTGTTGATAAGAAGCACCTATGTAGGATCTATGTAAAAGGGGACTTTTAGCCTTTTCCCAAAGGTCAGATTTTTTAAAAACTGGAAACTGCTATGGGTCCTATGCAAAATAAGAGGTGACACTCCGTGGTGAAAAACCAAAAGGCCATTTGGAAAGGGAGATAGGCATGCTTGATGGATAATGACAAAAATATTGCCACAGTATCAGATGATGACAAAAATATTGCCACATAAGGCAACAATTTCCCCCCTCAGCAAATGTGAAGCACACCTACAATGGACAGATTGGTCTCGGTCTCTTCAGATATACTGCTCATGTGTGCTCAGTAGAGATGGGAGTATTCGTATTCATCCCATGGGGCTGGACCTTCGTTAAAGCCATCTGTGCGGGGGGTATTCGTATTCATATATGAACACCAATATCCCCATCTCTAGTGCTCAGTTAACATGTAAATCATGAAGGAGACAGAGATTCTCTTCCTTCAGATTATACTTCTCACAATGCCTTTTCTGTTACTCCCAGGGCTTGAGGTCTTAGCTAATTTTATTAAGCCCAGTCTCGAGGAATAATAATAAAGTGGACACTTTCTTTGAGGAAAGGGCTACAGGTTTATTTGGGTAAAACAAGTGAGCACTTGGGTGCCCAGCAGGGTGATCTGAGGACCCTCAGATCAACAGGGTTCAAGTTTTTATACAGTTCTAACGAAAAAGAACAAAAGTTTGCAGCAGTTGATTGGTCCTTGAGAAATATATGCACTGGTTACAATTTCTCGCATTTCAGCAAAGCATGCGCAGAGCAGCTTATCTCTAAGGAATGTTGAGTTTTCCTTCCTCCTTATAGTTGAAGCTGCAATAAGCATGTGGCATCAACGTCCACAAAGGCATTTCATTTCGTAAGAAGAGGGGCGGATTTGGGAAGGGCAAATACATTGCATAATGGCAATATATCATATCAGATATCAACAGATCTGAACACACAGGGTCAGGAAGATGATCAGCCCAACAAATAGTGAGGGAGCCAATCGGTCAACCATCCCCACAGGGACCACCCAGAAGGACTATATGTTTTGCAGACATCTGAGTAACTTGGCAGTATCAATATCAATGTAACTTGGCAATATCAATATCAATAATCCCACACTGATTAATATAGTGGCAACAGGTGGTGTTCAGTCAGAAGCATAGACTACCCTCATGGCTAAGAAGGTAGTCCAGGGCCATTTTGTGCTGCATGAGCATGCCAGCTAGAGATTCAACCTCTACCTGGAGGGTGGTGAGGCCCCCTGCAGTGGCATTGGTCATTGCCTCTGGCTGGAAGGAAAGTCAGTGGAGTTGCCGGACATTCAGAGCTACCGCATGAGTGGGAAGTGGGATTGCCCCCAGCCGTTGGCCTTCGGAAAGGTAATTATTAGCTGGATCATATTTAATACTTGAATCATAGGTCCTCCTGCTGTGATACCAAGCAAAATGAGGGTCCCAGCTGTGGGGCGGTTGTTGTTTAGAATGATAGGCAATGCCTGTAGGACTCAGAGCCCCTACGGTGCATGTGCCATTCCAGAATGGTGGCAAAACCTTTCCAGCCCATTTGACACATAACCAAAATAGTCCAGTGGGGAGACAATAGAGTGCCTGACCCGTGAGCCCCCAAGCATAGTCCTGAATAGCCCCAAAGGCATTACTCACAAAGGTATTATTCCAGAGGGAGACAATGCCCTTATCTTGTCCAGATACGTTAAATGGGGAGCCCCACCCATTGTTCTGCTGATAGCCCCCATTACCCAGACATATATACTGCTCATGTGTGCTCAGTGAACACATAAATGATGAAGGAGAGAGAGATTCTCTTCCTTCAGATTATACTTCTCAAAATGCCTTTTCCATAATTTGAATCAAGCTGTGCATTACATATGGCACTTCCATATATTTACACATATAGGTTTTAGAGTCAAGAAGAGTGCACCATCTCCCCCATGGAGATTCATGCTAAGAAGATCTCCACCAGACAGCTCCAAGAGGCAAAAATAAGGCCAATGTGAAATGCAGGGGAACAAAGGAGAAAATCAGTTCCAGGGATGCATCAATATATACATTAAAGCCAGTAAAGAATTGTGAGTCTTAAAACTCTTCTTCGAGGCAAGCTGGGTCAAGCTCTTCAAGTAATGAAGAGCACAATATTGTGCTATCCAAATAGACTGAGCCATGGCCCCTGATGAAGAGAGCAAAGAGGAGAGCAGTATGACAGGCTTTCTTACTGTTTTCTCAGTTCACTTGTGAGAACTTCACCATCGGGCATACCATTTGGGGGCCGCTGCCAAACAGTTGGCAAAACTTTGGCACAGATTTAGAGAGAAAAGGACAGTGTTGGTTGCTGAGAAATCCTTCACGGTAGGTCTGCCAACTAACGCCTTTTGGTAGGTACAGTGAAACAAGAGTTTGTGCTGCAAAATGTCGCAAAACAATGAGAAAATGCTGGCACACATTTACAGGGGAAAGGACCATGTCAGATTCTGGGGTGTTAACAAGGACCCCCCATTTGTTCTATAAGTCAGACCATTCGGGAGCTCACTGCAAAATGATTGTCCTAGTTGGGTATATGTTTTGAGGAGATCCCAAATGTGGGGATTTGTAGTCAACAGAGCTTTACACTTGGACAAAAACAAAATCCCATTCCAGTCGGGCTTCAGGCCGCACTATGGTACGGAAACGGCACTGGTCGCACTGATGGATGACCTGTTGAGGGGGGCCGATGGGGGCAACATGTCCTTGTTGGTCCTCCTCGACATCTCAGCTGCCTTTGATACCATTGACCACGGTATCCTCCTGGGGAGGCTCTCTGAGTTAGGAATAGGTGGCCTAGTGCTTGCTTGGCTCCGTTCCTTCTTGGAGGACTGGCCCCAGAGAGTACAGCTTGGGGAGAGGGTTTCGACCCCGTGGAGCCTCGATTGTGGGGTTCCACAGGGGTTGATCATCTCTCCAATGCTGTTTAACATCTACATGAGGCCGCTGGGGGGGGGTCATCAGGGGGTGTGGAGCATCGTGTCACCGGTATGCTGATGACATGCAGCTCTACATCTCCTTTTCATCTACCTCAGTGGATGCCGTTCTGTCCCTCCAGCGCTGCCTGGAGACTGTACTGGAATGGATGCAGTCGAATGGGTTGAGGCTGAACCTGGACAAGACGGAGGTCTTGAGGGTGGGTGGTCCTCCCGTCAGCGGTATAGGTAACTCCCTTTCTTTTGGGGGGATGACCCTTGCCGCAAAGAATGAGGTTCACAGCTTGGGGGTACATCTGGACCCGGCGCTTACGATGGAAACCCAGGTGACGTCCGTGGTCCGCTCCGCCTATTTTCATCTATGGCGGATTGCCTAGCTGCGTCCATATCTTTATCGGGGGGCCCTCACTACTCTAGTACATGCGCTCGTAATCTCAAGATTAGACCATTGTAACACACTCTACGTGGGGCTGCCTTTGAGGCTGAAGCAGAAATTTCAGATGGTCCAGAATGCGGCAGCCAGGCTACTTAGTGGGGTGAGAAAACAACAACACATCTTCCCCACTCTGGCTGCTTTGCACTGGTTGCCCATCCGTTTCCATGTCGCCTTCAGAGTGCTAATGATCACTTATAAAGCTCTAAACGGTTTGGGACCTCAATATTTGGCAGATTGTGTTCTCCCACCCAGATCTACCCGAATCACCCGCCATAGCCAGCAGGGACGGCTGAGGGGCCTGACGCCGAGAGAGGCTCGGAAG